AGAGATGCTTGGGCTATGAGCCCGGGAGGCAGGTGCCCTTCTCACGCTTCTTCCATGGAAGACCGACCCCTGTCCTTCTCTCCTTCCCAAGCTCCATTTGGTCACAGGAACAGCATCGGCACCAGAGAGAACTCTAAGGCCGATGAGGCTCATCTTCAGGGGCCTCCTCATTGCCATCACCATGTCCCAAAGATGCGCGGTCGCCTCATGACCTCACACTGCCCTGGCCCCTCTCCCTGGCCCCTCACTCCTGCCCACCCTGCTCCGCAAAGCCTCCTTATCAAAAATTTCCTATGGGGGGTCCCAGCTGCTCTGAGGGGCTTATTAAACGAATCACTTGGACTAACAGCTTAAAAGCCACCCCTCCTGATAAACCATCCCAGAGCCTTGGGCACACCATGTTTTAATCCAGGCATTTGGTTCAATTCAACTCAATTCAATTCAATTCACTGTGTGTTTCCCCAGCCCAAGCAGGGCTCCTAAACTGGATAGGACCAACCCAGAGGAGATAGAAGGAAGGAGAGAATCTTGGAGTAGCACCCCAGTACCTTTGGACCCACAGATAATGGCTCTCAACTCTACCCATGGGAAGAGCCACTGGGCCTTAGCTATGCTCCCCCACTTGGGGCTTCTGGGCAAGCAGGGGCGCATCACTCGGGGCATGATAAGCTCGCCTCAGAGCCTTCCTGAGGGACTGCATGTGGCTCTCTTTCTAACCTCAGTGGAATCAGCCCACCCTAAGACTGCTTTGCAGTCTGCTTCCAGGGTTTTCCATTTCTTGGGAGCATGACTCAGAAAAGCTGGTGGGTCCTGGGAGGGAGGTTATCGGATGGGTCATCTTTCATAAGAATGTGCTCTCTGCCTCCGGGCTGGGGCTCACGGAGTCATGGCAACATATAAATGGCTTGGTGAGGGGCTAAAAGGCTAACTAACGCTGGGATGTTTTCTTGTCCTGATCCCCAGTTTCCTGGACTCTGACCCATATTGGACTTTGCGTCATCCTTTGGATTGAGAGGGACATTAGAAAGGGCTAAAAAAAAAAAAAAAAAAAAAAAAAAAGAAAAGAAAGGGCTCAAGTTCTGGTTCTAGTTTCGATTTGGTACCGAGGAGCTGTGCAGCTCCAGGCAGAACACCGTACCTCTCTGGGTTTCCACCTTTGTCCTTAGTGAAAAGAAGAGATTGGAATAGATCAAGATTCCTTGAAGTTTGATTTTTAGCATATTAGTCCCAGAGATTCATGATCCACATTAGCTTGTTGAAGGCTCTGATGACTCTTAAAGATGCTTGGTTAATGCCCTCTAACCTGGAATCCCCCCCACACACACACAATTTACTGGACGGTGAAACCTTCCTTGTGTCACACCTGCTGGCACCCAGGGTGTCCAGGGCTGCCCAGAGCCTACTTGGGAAAACAGGGAGACCAGCCTCCTCTGATAACTTTGTGATTCTGCATTTGCTTGAGCAACAGAGGAAGTTTCCAGCAGCCTCAGGTCATAGCCATGCTCTCAACGCGGTGTCAGAGGCACACAGCTGGGCCTGTGCGAGCTGTCACAATCCATTCCCCGTTCGCAGGCCGCAGCTCAAGCCCAGGTCCTGGACCTTAAAGCCTCCTCGAGGCTTCTGGGTGGACAAAGCTGCAAGGAACATGGGCTCCACCCCAGACCCCCCCACTAGGCCTGTGGCTCCAGGGCCAGCGCTGCCTGGCACTTTCGGTTCACAGAATCACCGAGGAAGGACGTTTTTTCAATCGCCTCCTGCAGTTTATTTCAGGCTCAAACACACATTTAGTCTAAGCCAATCCCTCCGGCTGCAGTGACAGGTCAGAACTCACATGTTGCTTAAGATTTACTGGCGCCTCTTCTAAAACATCCTCCAAGGCTTCATTTGGTGGCCTGACGGCCAAGACCTAGGAGTCCCTGGAGAGGGCAAGGGTGTGCCACTGATTCCTCTCGTGCTCCTAAACCCATGGAGCCTCAGTTTCCTCCTCTGCTGAATGGGAATAATGATCCCTGCTCTGTGTCTCCACCTTCCTGGGGCATCTGGGGCGCAGAATCACCCTGCAACCTCTGTCACGCTACGCAGGAGTCCCCGTTCCAGGCACGCGAATTAAATAAACACCAGGCGCTGGGGAGAAAGAAGGGGAAACGAGACACTAAAGAGAGGTGAGCGCGCAACAGGAGCCGCCAGTCAACCCGGGGTCCCCCCAGCGGCTCGGCTCCCAAGTGCGCTTCACAGCGGGGACACCTCAGCTCGCTGTGACTCTAAAGTGTTTAAAAATATCTAATGTTTCATACATCCCGGCCCTGAAATGCAAACCAACTACTTCACCGGGTGCTGAACCGAGAGCAGAGGGAGCTCGGCCGCTGCCCTGGGCAGCACCAGGAGCCAAGGGTCTCTCCTCGGGCGTCACGCTGGTCCCCAGGGCCACCTCTCCAAGGAGTTTTCAAGGGTAATAGTGACGGGGCGTCTGCCACGCGCCGCCCTTAAGCAGGACTCCGCAGGAGGTGCCGCCTTGGCGCAGGTGCTGGGCGCCCCCCTCGGAGCCGCCCCCCCGCGCCCCGCCCCGCCCCGCCCCGCGCTCGCTCCCCCGCGGCCGCCGAGCCCCGGCCCCGCCCTGGCGGTGGCCGCGGAGACGCGCCTGCGGTTGTAGCGACGCGCGCGGCCGCTCCAGTCTCATTCATGCTGCGGCTCATTCACCCGGCGGCCCGAGCAGCTCGGTCCGGCCGCGGGCAGCTCGGTGCAGCCACGGGCAGCTCGGTCCGGCCGCAGGCAGCTCGGTGCAGCCACGGGCAGCTTGGTGGGGCCGCGGGCAGCTCGGTGCAGCCGCGGGCAGCTCGGTTGGGCCGCGGGCAGCTCGGTGCAGCCCTGGGCAGCTCGGTTGGGCCGCGGGCAGCTCGGTGCAGCCCCAGACAGCTTAGTGGGGCCGCGGGCAGCTCGGTGCAGCCACGGGCAGCTGGGTGCAGCCACGGACAGCTCGGTGCAGCCACGGGCAGCTCGGTCGGGCCGCGGGCAGCTGGGTGCAGCCCTGGGCAGCTTGGTCGGGCCGCGGGCAGCTCGGTGCGGCCACAGGCAGCTCGGTGCAGCCATGGGCACCTGGGTGTGGGCCACGGGCAGCTCGGGAGCGCGGGAGAGGGAGCCGGGGGCCATTGCCCGCTGCCTGTAGTGCTCCCAGGAAGTGCTCCCAGGCCGTGAGGAGTACGGACACCCCAGGGAGCTCCACCTGCATCACCTCCCCTCCCTGGCACCTCGCTGCCGCCTTTAGAGGAGGTGTTGTGAAGCCCATTTCACAGCTGGGTACTGCTGGGTAGGAATGTTACAGAAAATGCCCCAATCCGAGGGTCAATGGCAGAGCCGGACTGGGAACCCCAGTGTATCAGCCTCCACCAAACCTGTTACCTCTCTCCTGGAAGTGATTACCCAGTTTCACGTACCTCGCCTCATCCTTGGGACACTTTCCTGGAACCCCAGCACCTGACCAAGTTCCCCCTGGAACAGCTGACTCGGAGGCTCCGAGAAGGGCTCTGAGGCCAGGCCATCCTCGGCCTCTCCGGGCTCCAGCTCAAACCTCCTGTCACTCAGACTTCTTTCCCAAAGTTTTGTGCATTCTCAAGAGTGCTCTTAATACACACCTGCCTGCCAGCCGCTGCCCCCAATACATGATAGCTATCTGCAGTATCACGGAAAGGTCACTGATGATGTCAGAAGTTCTGGATTCAAATGCTGCTGTCGTTAACTGGATACCACCAATATCCAGCTTTGCAACCCTAGGCAAGCCTCTTTGAGTCTCAGTGGTCTCGTCCATAGGGAGGGAGAAATACTATTTGCCCCACCGGCTTGGTGGGCTCGTGCTAAAGGCACGTGCATTTCCCACATCAGGTATTACTAAGCACTTTGTGTTATGGCCTATTGGATCTCATCTTTGGCCCTGGTTAAGCCTGGGTCACAAGGACTGCCAGGGGCCGGGCTGCTTCTGGCCTCTGCTCTGGGAAAGATCATCTCTTTCCCCAACAGGAACCTGCTTGACTCTTTGACCCCTCGCAGAGATTTTCCTCCTGACCAGTTAATTGATCCGGTCCCAGAGCCGGCAGCTGGCCAGCCAGGCACAAACGCCAGACCCGGGCCAGCCCTGGCAGCCGCCTCCGGGAGCCTTGGGGTTAATGCTTGTGCGTCAAAGTTACGTGGGGAGAAGGGGCCACAGCGCGGGTGGGGGTGGAGAATCCAGACCTCCCGTTAACATCTCACCTGCCCGCCCAGCTGGGGAAGTTTAAAGACAGAAGGGAGATGGACCTGCCCCCGGAGAAGGTGAGGGAGCCGCCTTGTGACCGACACCCTGAGTTCTGCATCCTAACGCAGCCCAGGTGGCCGTGGAGCTGGAGCCTGTCCCGGACCCTGCCCGAAGGGACTGAGGCCGGTCAGCTCCCTGGGGGTTTGCAGAGCCACAGGCTGTTTACAAACTACCTTTTTGCCCACTGGGTCTCTTAACAGTCACAGCAACCCAGACAGGTAGGCAGAAGGGCATGGGTCCTTGACCGATGGGGTCAGAGAGGTTAAGAGATGCAGGATGGGCAAGGAGGCAGGGGTGCAAGCCTGCTGGAGGTCCCCACCTCTGCAGATGGGCAGCCCCTCCCGGGTGGCCCTGAGGATTGCCCCTCAGATGCAGCCTGCAGGCAGGCGGTGCAAGAGGGACATACACGGATATTTTGCTCCCCTTGCATGGCTCAGAAGTGCAAACGGTTCCCACTCACACCAACCCTGAAGTGATGGCAGATGGCTCCGCAAGGAGGTGCCACCTGGGCCCCCATTCAGACTTATTTTCCAAAGCAGCTACAACTTACCCTTGATACCACAAGAGTCAGGCAAGACTGGAAATGGGGCTAAAAGGAATAGAATACCCAAGTTGCTTGCAAAAGTGGCTCTTTGAACACATCTCTACGTGCCACCTGCCTCCCCCTAAGCAAGGGAACCTCCCAAAGCCAAGAAAAGAATCAGACTCATCTTACCCGGAGACTCAGAAGGAATGGTGCTCCTACTCCAGCTCCTACAGGTCTGGGAGGATTAGCTGCTCCAGTGCTTTAACAATAAACCGAATTAAAGGGGAGGAATGCAGGGGTTTTCTTTCCCAGGACGGTAACCAGGCAGTCTTAAAGGGGAGGAAAAGTAGCTATGGTGGCTTGCATCTCCTGCCTTTCCTCTGCTCTGCTCTTCCCCCCTTCCGAGAAGCATTAAGTCTGATCCAGAAAAATGCTTTTGCAAAGGGCCCTTTCATGGTGTGTGTGTGTGTGTGTGTGTGTGTAATTGTGTTTGCATTGATGTGTGTAATGGAAGGAGAGGGGGGAAGAATAAAAAGCAAAAATAAAACCTCAAATTACAAGCTTCCATTGGCCTGAATGGGGTGCTAGCAGAAAATCCGAGAAGCTTTCTAGGACTGCCTGCCTCAGTTTCTCTTTTAACTACTCAGTTGCTGGAGTGTGTTGTTTAAAAACACCTTTCCGAGCAATAGGATATCTACATTGGTTGAAATGTGGGGGATGAAGACCCTTGTGTGTCCAGTTGTCGTCTCTTACAGAATGGGAAGAGAAGCAGGGGGGACCCTCTGCTGGGTGGTTCCATCATGTCTCTGATGTATCTCCTCTCCCCTGTTTCTAGAAGCGTAGCATCCTGATCCCAAAACCTACCATCCTGACTCCGCTCCCTGGCACTAACCTCTTCATCCTGCCCTTGACCATCTCAGCCTCCTTTTGACTAATCCTTCAGCCATAGGTTCCTTGAACTTCTGTCTTCTGCCCCCTTGCTTTCTCCTTGTCTACTCTTAATCTCAATATCCACTCACAGCGTCTGTTACCATCATCACGTGAATGTCCCAAATCCACACCCCCCACTCAGTGTTGTCGACCCTAACCTTAACCTCCAAAAGTCCACTTCCACCCACAAATAATCCTGAATATATAATAGCCTCCCTCAAACCATTCTCCCCGTTTCCCCAGAGAGGCTGCAGAGCTACCATCTTCCCAGACACTCAAATTGGAGAGCCAGGCACTTTGTTCCGCTGTGTTGGTTCTTTCGTTGCCTTCCAAATCCAATCAGCTGTTATGCACTTTCAGTTGTTCCTTCTAATTAGCTTTTAAATTGTGCCTTTTCAGTTTTTTTTTTTAAAAATCATTTGTGTTTTTTGAATGAATAGTGCATTCACATGGGTCAGAAATCAGAACTATATTAAAAGACATACATTGAGCAGGGGTGCCTGCCTGGGTGGCTTAGTTGGTTAAGCGGCTGCCTTCAGCTCAGGTCATGATCCCAGGGTCCTGGAATCAAGCCCCACGCCGAGTCCCACGTTGGGCTCCTTGCTCAGTGCGGAGTCTACTTCTCACTCCCTTTCCCTCTGCCCCTCCCCCTGCTTACTCTCTCTCTCTCTAATAAATAAATAAAATCTTTGGGGAAAAAAAAAAGACATACATTGAGGTGTCTCACCCACTGCAATTCCCTGCCCTGCCCTCTATAGGTTGCCAGCCTTATTAGTTTCTGGTGTATCCCTCCCGTACTTCATGTGGACGCAAGGAAAATAATAGATCGATATAGATACATAGATACAGCTGTAGATGGATATTTCCTGCCATCCTTTTTTACACAAAAGGCAGTAAGCAAATGCTGCCTCCTTTATATTTTCATCTCTACAATTTTAATTCAGGCCCTCCTCCTCTGGTACTGTTGTGGTAGGCTAGGCTCTAATTGGTCCCTGGGTGAGGTGGTCCCTTGGGATAGCTAAAAGTGGCTCTGGAGAAGTCTTCTAGGTTAGACTCCTAGATGACTGGCTGTCTGGCCTTGGACAAGCGGCTTAACCTCTCCGTGCCTCAGTCATCCCATCTGTGAAATAGGATAATTCCTGCCCTTATTTCACACACAAGTAGGGTAGAGTGAGACAGAATGCTAGTTGCTTAGAACCGAGGCCAGCATACGGTAAGCGGTCAATAAATGTGGCCTATTACTGTTTTCTCTCCAATCCAGCTTTCACTCTTGCTAGAATTATCTCAAGAGAATATATTGCTGCTACCTGAAAAAAAAAATCTTTTACCTACAGGATAAAGTCTAAACATCTTAGCCCATCACTGAGGGCATTCCAGGATCCAGCACAAAACTGTCCTCTCGCCTCTGGGTCCCTCTGTTGGGACTCCATTGGAGCTGACACTCCAGGCGCACTGTAGGAGACCCTGATTTCTAACACGCTGCTTCCCCCGCAAAGCTCCTGACCTTCGCTTGTGCTGGTCTACCAGTATAGGATGCCCTTTCCTCATTTTCTGCCTATGGAAATGCTACAGATTTGAAAAAAAAAATCCTCATCAATTGCTATCTCATCCAGAAAGCCGTCCACGATTTCCCAGCTTCCTCTCTGGCCATTCCTTCCTCTGTGCTGTTCCAAAAACTCTTTGTCTACAGCTTCTCCCGGCTCTTTATCTTTTTCTGCTTTGAATTCTAGCCTGGGTTTCCACTGCTTAGATTCCCTAGGTGCAGCATCTCTGACTGACAGCTGTCCTCCTCTTGCTTGAACACTGGCACTGGGGAGTTTATCACAGCCTCAGAATAGTGCCCACGGGCATCAGTGTGTGTTAGAAAGTTTATCTCCATAGGGAGCTGAACGCCGCCACTCTGAGGTCTTCTCCAGCACACACGCACTTGCACTCATTCCTTAAATATTTATCAACACTGACTGTGTAGTGGGTCTCGGGGACACAGAACCAGACCCAGACTCTACCCTCACCAAACTGCGGTCGAGGCACATGAGCTAGTCAAGTCCATCCTCTGTAATGTGCTCCGGTACAGGTCTGAGTTGGACGAGGAACTGCTGGTCAGGACCAGCCCACTGGAGCCTCCCCAGCCCCTTCCCTTTTCCTTCCATCCACCTGCACACTGCTAGCCTCGGTGAGCCACAGGGTCAGGGAAGAAGTCTCAGTTGCGGAAACAGAAAAAAATTCCATGTTGGGTTCCATGAGCTAGTGTTACTTCTTTATGCTGAGTTCCAAAGGCAGATGTCCTCACGGGCACTGACCAGGCCACACGTTGGACATCAGGAGGCAGGAGTAGGGGCAGAGGGCCCATTACTGGAATAATAGCACAGGTGACTAGGGTACTGGGCAAGCATTTGGGAATGTTTCCTGGGGAGCTGGAGGAGAGCTTTTGGCCTGAGAACACGTGTGTACTTGTGCAAATACACAAGCGTGCACATACTCACACATGCCTGCAATTTTGCCTGGTTCCAGTTCTTTTAATGGCTTCATTGCTATGATTTCCCCAATCAGCGATTCAACCAAATATTTATACAACATCAACTATGTGCCCAGTAGAGGAGGCAAGACACAGAAAGCAAATGGAGATGAATCAATAGTGAAATCAGGTACTATTAACTCACATCCTCATCAGATGTGGGGCCGTGGCAGGAAGGCTCTGGGATGGAGGCATCAGGAAAAGTTTCGTGGAAGCCGGCCTGGGCCTTATGGGTGATCTAGGACCAGGCAGCCTGGTTGAGGGCTTTAGACTTGGCTGTGAAGGCAGTAGAGGCATTGCAGGATCTCAAGCAAGTCTGTTTGTGGGAAACCAACGGTGGGGTGCCTGAAGTGGGGGAGAACTTGGAGACTAGAAAGCCAGCAGGGAGGCTCTGCTGTCACAGAGCTGAGGGGGTGCAGGTCTGAACTAAGGGGGTAAAGGAGAGGAGAAGGCGGGCCCTGGCCCCTCGCAGAGCATCCTTTTCTCTCCCAAAACGACCTGTGCATCAGAGTCTGCCACAGGTGACATTGGCAAAGGGAGTACTCACTGGGTGTCACCTCCACTGCTCCCATGGGGTCATGCTTTCCCCTCAAATGAACAAACTAAGGGGTCCTCTTACGGTTTGGGATAAGGAGGAGACAAGGGAGGTGTGCTCATGAGAACAGAACAATCTTCCTCTTTCAAAGAGCACTGGTCTACATTGTCTTTTATGTTCAATTAGATCTCCAGATTGAGCTTTTTGGAGAGCCACCTGACAACAAGACATGGGGTGCCAGGGTGGAAGAGGGGAGGGAGAATGATCTCCATGCATCCAGCCATCCATTCATTCATATATTGAGGAAGCCTAATATATTAGGCTCTGAACATACAGTGATAAGTCAGATAGGCACAGTTTCTTCCCGAATGAGTCTTGCATTCTAGCAGTGAAGTCAGATTTTAAACAAACATGGATAATTACAGTTGTGATAATACTAGGAATAGTTTAGGGCACTGTGAAAATATGTGTTAGGGGACCTTACCCAGCCCTGAGAAAGTGACTTTCAAACTGGCATCAGAAGCAAGAAGAACTAGCTATGCGAAAAGTTAGAGAAACAAAAGAGCAGGCAGTGGAAAGGCCCTGGGGTAGAAAAGGGGCCGCACCTGTTGAAGAGATGGAGAAAAGTGCCTTGTCACTGGGCAGTGAGAACAAGGAGAGAAGCCCCGGAGGCAGCTGGTGAAGCAGGAAAAGAAACAAATAGTGCAAGGCCTTGAAAGTAGGCTAGGCAGGATCATGGGGCGGGGATGAGGAGCCACCAAAGCACAAACACCACTTATTTCATAGTACATTTCCAACCTGAAGTTGGATAAGAGAGAATGGAGCGGGCTCAGAAAGTGGGGGCGAGAGGGAGGAAATGGAAATTATAGGAGAGTAGAGACAGGCGGGCACCCAGGCATGAATCAACGTAATACTTGCTACTTTAGTGTTTATTTGTTGTAAAAATAAGACACCAGATTTCTGGCACTTCCAGGAATAGACACCGCCACAATAGACAGTCTTGGTCCACATTGTCTTCTGCAGCCTGAGACCGGCTCCTCTTTTTGTCTGAGCTGGATCTTTACAAAGCCTCCTCCCCTGACCACTCTTCCCTGGCTCCACAGGCTGGACGGATGACCCTGTCTGTTCCCCCAGAGCTCACGTCCGCGGCAGCATGCACCCTGCTCCGATGGGTGGAAATTAGTCTGGCGTGGGTCAAGGGCCCCCCTGCTGGTGACGAGCTCTCCG